TTATTAAAAGTTAAATTAAGCGAGCGCACTCTGCTAAATAATTCGTCGCTTTTAAGCAGAATGGGGCTATCTCGAAAAAGGCTGTTTTGAAGAAAATCAAATGTAGCGTTTTTGCTGTCATTTTCATTTTCTCTACAAGACAAGGAGAGTTTCCTCTATAACCAAATAGATATATACACAAATGAAACCAAACTTTCTCCTATAGATAGGGCAATACCCACTTTTGGTGTAGGTCATGATTTCTGGAAACCCCCGAAATCTGGGTTAGCCCTCTTGTCCTTAATAAAAGAGACCATTTATTGTTCGTCAACAGAGTTTGGGAATTAGTGTTTTTCTGTTTTTCTATTACTCTCTTCATTCACTTGCGCCCAACCCTGTACATTAAATCAAACAACTTAACAGTGTGTGAGTGTGTGTGTGTGTGTGTGTGTGTGTGTGTGTGTGTGTGTGTGTGTGTGTGTATGTGTGTGTGTGTGTGTTTGTGTGTGTTTTGTTGGGTTTTTATTAACTCCACCAAGGAGGTCACGTATTATGTCAAAAAGCTTCTTCTTATAGAAAAACAGAGAAAACACGAATTTTTGGTGCAACATGCACTTTTCTAACACCCTTTAAGTCATTTAGGGTGTTTTTTCAACAGTTTTATCATTGTGACTCGATAGAACAGATGTCAAATGATGTTTTTCCACACAAAAACCCCCACAAAAATTCGATAGTTTGAAAAATATTATCGATAATCTCTGGAATCGCCGACCCGGGTCTTCCCTTAAGCGAATGCACTCTGCAAAATAACTGTTTGTCAACAGGGTTTGGGACATAGCGTTTTTCCATTACGATCGTCATTAACTTACGCCCAACCTCGTATATTAAATCAAACAACTTTTAGTTTTCTAGTTTTAGTAGAGGTTTTACCGCGCTCGTAACTGCACAGGGTCATATGAGAGCCAGAAGAATAGAGGTGTTACAAGAGAGTAACAAACATAAAAAAGAAGAAGGAAAGATAAGGACGGTAAATGTTTGATAGGAAAGAAGAAGCAAACTACACCAGAGAACCTGCCAACCACCCACTCAAACAACTGTACTGTCTTTCACTTTCAGTCTCCTCACAGTTACAATACTACCTACACGTATCTCCAGAGATGGGAGTTTTTAAAATAATAAAGGTACCCACGCACTGAGAGCCACACAAACAGGAAGTGTGTGTGTGTGTGTGTGTGTGTG